AGTGGCTAACACTGTCACTCCTCTACTCCCACTGCTCAGACAGCCACCTCACATTTATTGCCTCCCCTTTAAATACTGAAGCCACGCCCCCCTCCTTTGGCGCTAAGTTCCAGCCAATAAAGTTGCGCCCCAAGGATCACAGGACAAGGGAAAGGAAGTGAGTAGCCAACGAGAAACCATTTATAACGCAAAGCCGGAAACAAGTCTTTCAGTGGTGTCTGTGGACCCGTGAGGAGCAGAGCAACAGAGGACATACGGCTTCTCGGATCACCTGACCAGTGAGCAGAAGCAGCCTAGCCCCACCTCCTGGTCTGGAGGTAGCGCGATGGGCCACGCTTCCAATGGCTCGCAGAACCTCTAGTCACGTGCAGGTTTTGCAAGTCCAGCGGCATCTGGCAAGTCAAGTGGCAGTTGACGTTTGTGTGACGCTCCCCAATGGAAAAGGAGAGCTGCCTTCACAGAACCAGGAATTGGTTTCACGTCCGCGAATAGCATGGGGGAGGCGGAGATGCCGTATCACATGCCGCGGGACGGAACGGGGCGGGGCAGGCCACTGCCTGCGGAGTGAGCTGGGCGCGCGGCGCGCAGGCGCCCTGGACACCCGGTAGCGGCGGCGGCGGCGGCGGCGGTGGGAGCTGGATCGCTGACCCGAGAGGGCGGAGGTGGTAGCAGCCATGGCGGCGGATGGAGAGCGCTCCCCGCTCCTGTCTGAGCCCATTGACGGTGGCGCCGGCGGCAACGGTTTAGTGGGGCCAGGCGGGAGTGGAGCTGGGCCCGGGGGAGGCCTGACCCCTACCGCACCACCGTACGGAGCCGGTAAACATGCCCCGCCCCAGGGTAAGCCGGGGCGGGTCCGAGGTGCTCCTCAGGGTACTCTTGAGAAGGGGGAGGGGGCGGGACTGAGGGCGGAGGCGGGGCCCCAGCGCCAGGTGTCGGGCTGTAGCACCTGTAACAGGGTAAGGCTTCCTTCGCTCCGCTATCGCGACCGGAGCCTGGAAACAGAAGGTGGTTTTGAGGAAGCGGATGGAAGCAGCGATTAAGGGAAGCCCTCCAAGTTTCGTCGGAAGTGTTGAAGATCAGAGGGTTCTCTACCCCGGTGAAGCATTAGTGGGGGTTGACTCTAAGCGAACACAACCCTTCTTTTTAACTGCTCTATAGCATTTCCTCCGTTCCCCGAGGGGCATCCAGCCGTGTTGCCTGGGGAGGATCCACCCCCCTACTCACCTTTGACCAGCCCAGACAGTGGAAGTGCCCCTATGATCACCTGCCGAGTCTGCCAGTCTCTCATCAACGTGGAAGGCAAGATGCATCAGCATGTAGTCAAATGTGGTGTCTGCAATGAGGCCACTGTGAGTTATATGTATCTATGAAATGGGCCCTTTCTTTTGAGTCTTTCTGGTCTCTTAAGTCTAGACCCTAACCTTCAGGCACTGGCTATATACTCTTCATGAAACCCAGGTTTCAGTTCCTGGAGTCTCACACAGTCACTTCCCCAGAAGCCACGTTCAAAGCTCAGAAACCAAAGCTCGTGTTTACCATCCCTCACCTTCTTACCTATCCTGGATACTTAAGTCTAGTCCTCTCTTTCAAATCCTATAATACATGTCTGCCTTTCATTTATCTCTCCTGGACCATATTTCTGATCTCTCCTCAGAAGTGTTTTTGGAGGGGAATGGAAGGGATTGGAGTTAGAGGTTTGGTTGCTGATGTCTCTGTTATTCTCTAGCCAATCAAGAATGCACCCCCAGGGAAAAAATATGTTCGCTGCCCCTGTAACTGTCTCCTTATCTGCAAAGTGACTTCCCAGCGGATTGCCTGCCCACGGCCCTACTGGTAAGAGGCATAAGGTGGGGAAGGGTATAAGAGGGGAAGTTTGGAAAGCCAAAAAAGGATGAGTGTTTATAGAGAATATAAAGATAATACAGCTCAGTATTTATCTAGGAGAAAAAGCTATGGAGCATTGTGTCTCTAGAATGTTTGCCATCTTAACTCATTTTTCAGTTAATAGATTGGGATGAAATAGTGACTTTTAGGAGAATGGGGAGCCCTGTGAACTGGGCGAATTATCCTGAGGTCAGGGTAGAGACCTAAATTTTTTTTTTTTTTTTGAGACAGAGTCTCAAGTTGTTGCCCTGGGTAGAGTGCCATGGCATTGTAGCTCACAGCAAATTCCAGTTTGGGGGCTCAAGTGATCCTCTTGCTGCAGTTTTCTACTTTTAGTAAAGACGGGGTCTCATTTTTGCTCAGGCTGGTCTTAAACTTATGATCTCAAGCTATCTACCTGACTTGGCCTCCCAGAGTGCTAGGATTACAGGCATGAGCCACCACTCCTGGCCTAGGGACCTAAATTTTAATCAGTACTCTTCCTCAGAGTTTCTCTGGGGTAGGATTGGGAGATGGATATCTAAAGTGTATGGGATATGGCTCAGCGCCCATAGCTCAGCAGTTAGGGTATCAGCCACATACACCGAGGTTGGTGGGTTTGAACCTGGCCTGGACCTGCCAAACAACAATGACAACTTCAGCCACAACAACAACAAAAAATAGCCAGGTGTTGTGGCGGGTGCCTGTAGTCCTAGCTACTTGGGAGGCTGAGGCAAGAAAATGGCTTAAGCTCAAGAATTTGAGGTTGTTGTGAGCTGTGACACCACTTCACTCTACCAAGGGTGACACAGTAAGACTCTGTCTCAAAATAAATAAAATTAAAAGTACAGGCTAGAAGAACTGAGAGGGGGATTAAAGGAAAGACAGTATGGGAATCCTTAGGAGTAAAAGCTTTTCAAAAAGAGTCTTTTTTTTTTTCTGTACAGCAAAAGAATCATCAACCTGGGGCCTGTGCATCCAGGACCTCTGAGTCCAGAACCTCAACCTGTGGGTGTCAGGGTCATCTGTGGACATTGCAAGAATACTTTTCTGGTGAGGAAAGGTATTGGGTAGCAATGGAGAGGGGTGGATCCAGGGATAATTAATTATATTTCTTTTAGCAGTGATAATGACTCTGTCCTATGGGAACACATTCCCTGCCCCTATCTTCTGACTGAGGAGGACCCTACTTGTTATTTTCTTTTTCTTTTCTCATAGTGGACAGAGTTCACAGACCGCACCTTGGCACGTTGCCCTCACTGCAGAAAAGTGTAAGTGATTAGGAATTCCACTGGTAATTGGGCGATGTATGGAATAAAAAACACAGGGACATCACATCATCCATTTCTGTTTCCTCCCCACAGGTCATCTATTGGGCGCAGATACCCACGAAAAAGATGTGTCTGCTGCTTCTTGCTTGGTTTGCTCTTAGCAGTCACTGCCACTGGCCTTGCTGTGAGTACCATTGTCCTAGCTGCTTTCTTTTCTTTTCTTTTTTTTTTTGAGACAAGAGTCTCACTATGTTGCCCTCAGTAGAGTGCTTTGGCATCACAGCTCACAGCAACCTCAAACTCTTGGGCTTAAGCGATTCTCTTGCCTCAGCCTCCCAAGTAGCTAGGACTATAGGTGCCCGCCACAATGCCCAGCTATTTTTTGTTGTAGTTGTCATTGTGTAGCAGGCCCGGGCTGGGTTCAAACCCACCAGCCTCAGTGGGTGGCGGCCGTAACCACTACTAGGGGTACTGAGCCAGTCCTAGCTGCTTCCATTCTTCAGCCTCATTTCCACAGGCTGATTTGGGAAATGGTTGCCCTAAAAAAAGGTAAAAGAAACTGGGTGCAGGGTGTTTTTAATAGCATTTATGTTAGGAAGGGTGTTTGTTTTAAGGTATGGATAAGCTGGAGTTAAATGGAGGTGGGGAAAAAGCCATCTTTTCTCTGTAGGATAAGGACAAGACAATGAAGAAGTGGCTTAATTTAAGAGTTGCTATTAGGAAGCCTAGCTCAGTTGTCAGATATTAAGAAAAACTGACAGATGTTTTTGTGCTATAGTATAAATACGTTCCTGCCTAGGGGCATGGAGCTAAAGAACCTGACCTTTAAGAAAGTACTCCAAGCTGACTACATGTAGATAAGGGATTGAAGGTTGAGTTCTTTTTTACTGTTCCTAGGGCTTCTAGGAAGTAATGGGAGATGAACAATAACCTTTTCCTTTCTTCCCCATCAGTTTGGCACATGGAAGCATGCACGGCGATATGGAGGCATCTATGCAGCCTGGGCATTTGTCATCCTATTGGCTGTGCTCTGTTTGGGCCGGGCTCTCTATTGGGCCTGTATGAAGGTCAGCCACCCTGTCCAGAACTTCTCCTGAGCCTGATGACCCACGGACTGTGTCTGGCCCCTCCCTGGTGGGGACAGCAACACTACTAAGGGAGCTGGGGTAAAAGGCTCCCTGAGCTTCAATAAGGAAGCCAAGCAGCTGCCTTCCTTTTCCCTGGGGAGAGGTAGGAAGGATCCAGGCCCTCAGTTAGGTTTGGAGGGGTAGATAAGACCACTGCTGACCATCTGCTTTCCTCCAAGGGTTGCTGCTTAGGGTGAAGTAGGCAAATGTTGCCCCTATACTTGGATTCTAAAGACGGTTCTAGCCATGTCCTTCCTATATGCTCCCTGAGAGCCATTCCTGTCCCTTACACATTCCAGGGCAGGGCAGCCCTGGGGGTTCCCCTCCCTCTTGTGCACCATTAGGACTTTGCTGCTGCTATTGCACTTCACCAGGGGCTGGCTCTGGCCTCAGTACCCTCAAGTCTCCTCTCCCCACATTCTGAGTCCTGGGGGGGTGGGGTCAGCCGCTGCTCTGTACAGAACCACAGGAACTGATATGTATATAACTATTTAATGTGGGGTATGTCCCCCTAGTCCTGTATTTCCCTTAATTCCTCCTTCCAACTTTGCTTACCCCCCAGTTGCAGTATTAAACTGGGCTGGGTGGGGTTGCTGTTTTGGGGGAGGTTAGGGACTGATCCTGTGCTTGTAAATAAATAAGGTCTTGACTCTACCCATTTCCAGTTGTTAACTTGTATGTATGAAAAGATGAGGAAGGGAACTTATTGCCCCATAAAGGGGTAAAACACAGAAACAGCAAGGCTGAAACTATGGCTTTTTATTTTCCATGTGGATAGCTCAACAGAAGTAGGAATAATCAGTAGCCTTTGTTCAATGTTATTTAAAAAAAAAAAGAAAAAAACCCACAAAACAGAAACCAAATTTTGAGCTTAAAAGAAACCTAATTCTGTCATAGGATCCTGGTTGGAAGATACATTATTCTTATGGATGAAAAACACAGTGCTAGAGAGTGAAGAAGGAATGGTAGTTTTAGAGACCTATTTCCCAAAGTGATCTAGAGGAGGTGTCACAGTGCTAGATATAGGGTGATGGGACAGTGATCACTCCCCAGGGCCTTGGAACGGATTTTGCTGTCACACAATGCTGGTAACAGAGAGTGGGACAACAAAAAGTAGTCAAGACGCCAACCAACATTCTTAGCTCGAGCATTCATCATGTAAGTCCAAAAGGTGTAGGCATAGGCTGTGTTGGGGTAGAGATGCCGAAAGCTGTCAGCCAGTGGCACAGCTTGCAGCAATTCCCCAAAGCCTTGACGCTCTTGGGGGGTGAAGCCAGCATTCTTTTTGTTTCCCTTGGGATTGCGAAGGTCAATTTCTTCATGAGCCACATTGAGATCTCCACACAGCACAAGGGGCTTTTGGGAAGTCAAGCCCTTCAAGAACTTGCGGAAGGCTTCATCCCAGCGCTGCCTGTACTCCAGTCGCACCAGCCCACGGCCTGCATTAGGTACATAGGCTGTTACCAGCACAAACTTGTCAAACTCAGCCACAATCACTCGTCCTTCCTGATCATGTTCTTCCTCACCTGTAGAAATGACAAAACAATCAACATTAAAAAATGTAAAAGATAGGAAAACAATCAAGAATTGAGGCAGGGATAAAGTTTTAGCAATAGGTTTGGAAGAATGGTCTCACCAATGCCATAAGAAACTTTGAGTGGGCACTGGCGGGAAAGTAAGCCCACACCACTGTACCCCTCCTTGTCTGAAGGAGCTGACCAGTACTGATGGGATAGTCCAGGCAGGTCTTGAAGTTCAGTGGGTAGTTTGTTCTCGGAACATTTGGTCTCTTGGAGGCACAGGATATCTGGGGCTTCTTCCTTTACCCACTATGAACGAAAACAAAGGGGGGAATAAGTATTATCAATCCAGCAGAACATTTATTGAACATCGTATGTGCTAAGTACTAGAAATATACGTACACCATCCCTGTGCATAAGGAGTTCAGCAGTCAAGCAGCACAGTATTTAGACAATTTTAAACTACATAACTGACAACTAATAGGGAGAGGTTAAGAAAAAAGCCTTACATGATATAGTAAGGAAATTGTGTTTTTTCTATAGCCAGTGGATAGCCAGTTAAGATTTTTTAGTAGTTACTACAATGGAAGACATGCTGGAGACAAAACCGAGGAAGTCCAGTAAAGAAGCTTTTGCAAAATTCTGGAGAGAAAAGGACATTAAGACAACAGCAATAAAATGAGAGGAATAGAAATTTAGGGAATCCAACTGGCATGAATTGGGGAAGCCCCACTTGCACCTCCTATTGGACAAAACTACAGGAGAGAAGTAAAAGTTAACACCCTGAAGACTAAAATGAGGAAACATGATTACACCCCAAGATCATTCCATACTAACAAAAGAACGTCTCTTCCCCTCATTGAATTCCACTCACATCTAATCCTTTCTTCTTAATCCAGGCCCGAAGCCCATCCACATTCCAAGAACAAATCTTGAGTGTGGCAGATTTGCCACTGGGTGAGGTTTTCTTATCTGGGGGGTCCTCATATAGAACAGGGCCCTCTCCTGCTGCTTCTTTTTCATTTTTCTTTGCTCCCGTCTTACTCTTCTTGGGCTCTGGCTCTATAAAATAATATACAGTGATGGTTTTCAAGTTCAATCAGTTTACTACAGACATCAGAAGAGCCTGCAGTTACCGCAACTTCTCCATAAATTCCTGCAAAAGTTTGTTGTACTTGCCACTCATCGAATTAGAAACACCCAACCCAGCTTGTAGAGAAGGGATTCATTTCAATCTCTTACCCGTCTTGGGGTCTTCCCCATCTTCTGCCACCGCTCCCTTTTTCCCACGTTTCGGCATCCCTGCCCTTGAACACTTATACCACGTTGCCCACCGAAGCAGTATTTTATCACGTCGCCTACAGACACAAAGAAATGAAACCAGCTACGGCTGGGAAGAAGATTACTTCTTAGAGCGTTCCCGACACAGGTCCCGCCTTTCAAAGCATGTTATCTCTGAATCTTTCCCCCGCCTCTGTGCACCATAGGCCCCCGAAACCCTATCCATTTAACTAGATCATTTTATAATGCCTTTCACCCTACTCGCCAGATCTGCCGTCCGGCCAAAGGAGGACCTTAAGTAGGAGTCTCGACTCAGGCTTGCCGGTCAGCCAGCCAGCGAAGCCCCTGCAGAATAGCAAAATTGTACTTGCCCTATTCGGATCCCAGCCCCGCTCCTCCTTCTGCGAGCACAAAGAATGGAGCACACTGTGCCCCCACGTGGGTGACTAGCGTGGTCACGTGAGTCTGGGTATATATATCACGTGGCCAAAGACTGTAGGTGATTGGCCTATATGGTACCACGTGACAGAAGTCGGCCTTCCCTTCCGTACCTCTCCCGCGTACTTAAGGCCCCAACCCTCCATTCTCGGGCTGTTCATCGTTGTGCCGGATGCTTTGCTTGTTCTGGGACCGGTTCAAAGATCCTAACGCTGTGGAAGAGGGGAAGAGCAATCACTGGAGAAGGTTACGCTGGGCCACGGAGAGGTGGGGAAATAGGTAGGAATGGAAAACGCAAAGGCCAGCTGCGCGTCCCTGGCAGTTACGAAGACAGGTCCTTGAAAGGGGTCTTGACTGGTCGCGGTGACAGCGCTGGCGCTTCCACCGCGGGAGTTCTGGAGTGTCTCCCGGTGTGCTGTGTGCTCTCTGGCACCTGCAGACTCCTTCTCTTCCTCTGCGCTCGGGAATCCGCAGCCCAGCACGGACTAGTGAAGTCCTCCGCAGCTCCGTAAGTTACTAGGAGCCCTGTGGGCATTTTTTCCTGGGCTCCGCCATGCCGGCGGTGCTCGGTTTTGAAGGCAGCGCCAACAAGATTGGTGTGGGAGTGGTGCGAGATGGCAAGGTGCTGGCGAACCCGCGGCGAACTTACGTCACACCTCCAGGCACAGGTGAGTGAATAGGAGACTTTCGGCGTACTTTCCTGCACGGTGTTGCCTTCCGTCAGCGTAAACATTAGTCAAGTGGGGTCTGGGGCGCATTGGCCCCTCTTACAGCTTGGCATTTTTGTCTCATTGAAGCTATGTGACAGTCCTAACATTACAAGGCTGATGGCTAGTCTTTTGGGTTTGTTCAGCTTTTGTCGAGCTCATTTTATGTGCTGAGCATTCAAAAATAGATGTTATACGCCGGGCGCGGTGGCTCACGCCTGTAATCCTAACACTCTGGGAGGCCAAGGTGGGTCGGCTACCTGAGCTCAGAAGTTCGAGAACATCCTGAGCAAGAGTAAGACAGCCCCTCCCGTCTGGTAAAAAAAAAAAAAAAAAGAGTTACTACAGTGAATTTACATATTCACTGCTGTAAATGTTTTTGCTAATGTCCCAGAAAGGAATTTCATGACCCACATTTCACTGATCAATGATGGCAAGTTTATTGAATGAACGTAAACAGGCTTAGGAAAGGCTTGTGTAGAAGCAAAAGCATGATCTCAGAAAAGAGCGGGCAGGCTCGAAAGGACTGTCTGTGCCCAACTCAGAGCAGTTGCTGTTTTTATTTTTGAAGTCAAAGAAGGCTAGGCAGTGTTCCTCTTACTCATCTAATGGGGGAAGGTCAATTTGTATCTGTGCAAGCTGGGAAATGAATGGCTTTTTCCCCTCAGTTATATTTGTTCAAGGGCTGTTTATGTTTAAGCCAGTTGACTTTTCCCTTCCCTCCTCCTTTGCTCATACCTAGGTGTCTACCTACTTTAAAAGTCCAATCCTGGCTCGTCTCCTATAGCTCAGTGGCTAGGGCGCTGGCCACCTACACCAGGGCTGGTGGGTTTGAATCTGATCCTGGCCTGCCAAACAACAACAACAAAATAGACGGGCGTTGTGGCGGGTGCCTGTAGTCCAAGCTACTTGGGAGGCTGAAGCAAGAGACTCTCTTAAGCCCAAGAGTTTGAGGTTGCTGTGAGCTGTGATGCCACCGCACTCTCTCTCAAAGAAAAAAAAAAAGTCCAGTCCTGTAGTTTCAGCTACCTGGGAGGTTGAAATGAGAGGACAGCTTGAGCCCATAGGTTTGCGGATGCAGTGAGCTATGATGACACCACTGTACTTTTTAGCTCAGGCAATAGAGCGAGTCTCTGTCTCAAAAAAAGAGCAGAGATTTGAGAGTGGAAAGACTGTCAGGTTAGTTGTCAGACTAGCTGGCTTTGGGAGATTTCTGTATAATATTTTATGTTCTGGGCATCTTTTCCTTATCTTTTAATTTGTTATATTTTTGAGATGGTGGCACAATCTTTTTCTTTTTTTTTTTTTTTTTTTTGAGACAGAGTCTTAATATTATCACCCTCAGTAGAGGGCCGTGGCATCACAGCTCACAGCGACCTCAAACTCTTTTTGGGCTTAAGCAATTCTCTTGCCTCAGCCTCCCAAGTAGCTGGGACTACAGATGCCCATGACAACCCCCTGGCTATTTTTTGTGTGTGTTGCTGGAGTTGTCATTGATGTTTAGTTAGCCTGGACCGGGTTCAAACCCACCACCACTGGTGCATGTGGTGGCACCATAAACCACTGTGCCACAAGCGCCATCCCGACAGTGGCACAATCTTAACTCACTTTAGTCTTGAATTCCTGGGCTCTAGTGATCCTCCTACCTGAGGCTCCCAAGTAGCTAGGACTATAGGCTTGTACCATCATAATTGCCTAATTTAAAAAAAAAGGTTTTTTTTTTTTTTTGAGACAGTCTCACACTTTGCCCAGGCTAGAGTGCCATGGCATCAGCTTAGCTCACAGCAACCTCAAACTCCTGAGTTCAAATGATCTTTCCGCTTTTGCCTCCCAAGTAACTGGAACTACAGGTGCCTACCATAATTTTTTTTCTAATTTTTTAGTAGAGACAGGGTCTCACCCTTCCTCAGGCTAGTCTCAAACTCTTGAGCTTAAGGGATCTAACTGCCTTAGCCTCCCAGAGTGCCAGGATTAAAGGCGTGAGCCATGGCGCCCAGCCTGATTTTTTAAATTTTTTATAGAGATGGATGGAGTCTCACTGTGTTGCCCATGCTGGTCTCAAACTCTTGGCTTCAAGCGATCCTCCTGCCCAGGTCTCCTGAAATGCTGGGATTAGAGGTGCAAGTCACCATACGTAGACTGTTCCTTATTCTTAAAATGGGAATTATAATATCTGTATCATTGGGTTTTTTTAATTTTATTTCTTTTTTTCTTTTAAAAATGCTTTCTTGGGGATCTGCATGGTAAGATGGCTGCTGCGGGCCCAGGCGGCCGGGCGGACACATCAGTGGCCCCAGATTGCAACCCCCCACACAAGGACATACCCAGTCAGGCTGAGCCTGTGGGGTGCTGAGGATTAAGGTCTGAAACATTCTGAATTCTAAAGCACATCTGTCTGCCCAAGGGTTTGGGATCTGTATGCCACAGTTCCTTTGTTCATGCTACTGCTGAATGAACATTTAGAAAGAAATCAGAATGAGTTATGCAGAAAAACCCGATGAAATCACAAAAGATGAGTGGATGGAGAAGCTTAAACTTACATGTCTAGCACGCAGATATGAATTGTCTCTTCATGAACTACCTGGTCACAGAAGGTTTTAAGGAAGCTGCAGAGAAGTTTCTTACGGAATCTGGGATTGAACCCAGCATGTATCTAGAAACACTTGACGAGAGAATCAAGATCCAGGAGATGATACCGAGAGGTCAGATCCAAGAGACCATTGTGCTGATCAGCAGCCTCCACCCAGAGATCTTGGACACAAACCGGTACCTTTACTTCCATTTGCAGCAACAGCATTTGAATGAGCTGATCTGCCAGCGTGAGACAGAGGCAGCCCCCCGAGTTTTCACAGACACAGCTGGCAGAGCATGACGAAGAGAACAGGGAGTGCCTGACAGAGATAGAACACACTCTGGCCCTGCTGGCCTTTGACAGCCCTGAGGAGTTGCCCTTCAGAGACCTCCTCCACACGATGCAGAGGCAGAAGATGTGGAGTGAAGTTAATAAAACTGTCCTAGATTATGAAAATCGAGAGTCAACACCCAAGCTGGCAAAATTACTAAAACTACTTTGGGCTCAGAATGAGGTGGACCAGAAGAAAGTAAAATATTCCAAAATGACAGACCTCAGCAAGAGTGTGATCGAGGAGCCCTAGTAGAGCCTGTGTGGTGGCCCCACACAGGACTCTGGCTCCATCTGCAACCACATTTGTACCACAGTAGAGTATTCTTGTACTTTTTTTTTGACCTAGCATTTTTTTTTTAAAGGGGAAAAATGCCTTTTTAAGTTCTAAAAAGCTCACAGTGAAACACACTGTCTTTCAGGAAGTGTAGTGCAGACTCTGTACTGTGGTACGTTTGCAAGCATCTGACAAGCAGCCATTGGCCTTTCCAGTGCTTTTGTGACCTTTGGCAGCTATAGGGTTTGGTTTGCCATGGAGCATGATGGAACATTATGCTGTTGGTTCATTGCTTACACCCCAGCCTCCCGTTCAGAGTGCGTGAAGGAGCAGGTCATGGCCTTGCTTTCTTGGGATGTAGGCAGACAGTATGTCATCCCCTTCTGAGCCTTGTCAGGCTGCTTCTACAAGTTTTTCTCTATCCTTGGTTTTTTGTTTTTCATAGGAAAGAACATATAAATTTGTAAAAATTTTTTTTTTTTTTGACACAGTCTCAAACTGTGGCCTTTGGTAGAGTACTGTGGCGTCACAGCTCCCAGCAACTTCAAACTCTTGGGCTTAAGTGATTCTGTTGCCTCAGCCTCCCAAGTAGCTGGGACTACAGGCGCCCACCACAATGCCCAGACGCGTGATTTGTTTTTCCTTTTTGATCTGGGTTGTTTGACTTTTGGGGAAATGTGTGAGGGTTGGGGCTATGGGATTTTTAATTTTTTTAAGTATACATTTGGTGCTGTGTATGATGAGAGACTCCGTCACAGTGGATCAGTGACCTTTCTCTGCTAGGCAGTTTTGTTGAAAATAAAGGTTTCCCTTTGATTTCAAGAATGACCAAAATGACTTCTAAAAAGTTTTTATCACCTCAAACAACCTTTTGGTTTTGAGCTGTACTTTCTCTATGATGATGGCAGTGGCATCCTTTCTTCGATCTGCAGCTAGAAAGATGCCTTTGCTCTGTCCAGGTGCTGGGGGCAGCCCTCCACTGGCGGGGTCTCTTGGGGGCATGAGGCTGTTGGCAGAGGATAGAGCACAGAGCCTCGTGAGCAGAGTGGTTTCTCTTTTGTTGTCTGCCCCGTATGCAAATGTCCTACTTCTGTTTGCTCACAGCCTTGTTCCTTGTCCTGGTGGTAGGAGGGACTGGCTCAGTGTGGCGAGGGGTTTATGCAGGTCAGTATAGTCAGTGGTGAGTGTGTGGTGCATAGCTTGGTGCAGATGTGTTTGCATCTGTTGCAGTGGGCTGGCAGGTGCAACAGCGCTGAGAGCAGGTTTTGTGTGAGGCACAGAACTGCTGACCCCTGAGTGAGGCCTGTGGGGAGGTAGCAGGCTCACTGCATCTCCTACTGCTGGCAGCTGAGGTGGGGAGCTGTTTTTTTTTTTTTTTTTTTTGAGACAGAGCCTCAAGCTATCCCCTTGGGCAGAGTGCCGTGGCATTACAGCTCACAGCAACCTCCAACTCCTGGGCTCAAGTGAGTCTCCTGCCTCCGCCTCCCAAGTAGCTGGGACCACAGGCACCCGCCACAACGCCCGGCTGTTTTTTGGTTGCAGCCATCATTGTTGTTTGGCGGGTCCGGGCTGGGGATTCGAACCCTCCACCTTAGGTGTACGTGGCTGGTGCCTTAGCCGGTTGAGCTATAGGTGCCGAGCCAGGGAGCTGTTGTATTTACTGAGTAGCAAGGGACAGGCCAGGCCAGACTGGGGTGAGGCCATCCCCCTCTCACTCTTGGGCCCCTTGAATGTTAATCACCCAGGTCTGCCACTCTGTCCTTCTAGCTAGAGGAGTGTCCTCCTTCTTACTGAGGCCTGATGTGGTTCAGTGGGAGGAACTTGTGGAAGGATTTCCTTTCCCCTAGATGCCCTCTGTGAGTTAGTGAGAGACACAGAGGTAAACTGCTGTAGTCCTTGTGAAATCACTCTGGCCTCTAGGCTGCCCCTTCCGGCTGCCCCTTTGGTTTTGTGAGGATCGAGTGCTGGGAGATGGCCTGTCCCTGAGCCCTTAGAATGGTATGTCTGAATTCTGCTGTATCTGCACACATCTTCAGGATTATTTTGTCTGAGGTTTGAAGAGAAAAATAGAAGGAAAGGGAGTTTTAATTTTTAGGTAATTAATAGGTTAAACGTAGCTGATGTTAGAAGAAAAGTATCAGGAGATAGAGATAAAACCACATTTTTTGAACAGTACCAGGTAATTCAGCATATTCCTAATTTTATTACTAGTGTATATAAAATCATTTACATGCACAATTAATATATAATTAATTTGACATATTCTCAATATTAGAAAGTATGAGATGTGTAGTGACGGGAAGCCCTGTCTTTAGGGGCCGTCGGTGCACTAAGTGTTGTTAGGTGATTGTGAGACAGTGTTGGTGTTTCATTTGCTGGTTCAGGCAGTGAGTAGCTTGATAAGCCAATGCTGAAACCCAGTGCAGGGTAGACGCTGTGAGACTGGAGACTTCAGGTGCTCTTATTTACTTTGCCTGTGTTTGAGATCTCTTGGTAAGTGGAGGTCTTCTGAGGGAGCACTTTGCATACTTTTCCTGTTTGCCACCTGTTTTGTTTTTGCCACCAGTCTTGTTTTTGCAGCAATCAAACGAAATAGCCACTTCGGGATAATGAATGCTCAGTATAATTTGGTTTCTCTACTTCGTCTCATTTTGCATGTCATTGTTGTGTTTATAAGATGTGGTTATGTTTTACAGAGTAGCTTATTTCCTTTTACACTTTCTGGTGGAAAGTGCCTTGAAATAATAGTCTGAGACTATTCTGATTATAAATAAATAAATAATGCTTTTGTATCATTGAATTTTGAGGATTAAATTAAAGTACAACATTTAATTGTACTTTGTACAATTAAAAGTAATAATTTGTAATATTATTTAAAAGTTATTATATCTTGTTAATTCTCTCCATAAAACACTTGCATATGTAGGAGGGGGCAACTAACTTGAGCATGTACCTGAAAAGCTTCCCTGAAATATGCACTGTGATCCCACTCCTCTTCACTTCGCGGGCGGGGAAAGGCACCAGAGATAAGCTGGGGAGCTGTTGGCTCAGTGCCCATAGCAGGGTGGTTATGGCGCCAGCCACATACACCGAGGCTGGCAGGTTCAAACCCAGCTGGGCTTGCTAAACAACAATGACAACTGCAAAAAAAAATAATAATACATAGCTGGGCATTGTGGCAGGCTGAGGCAAGAGAATCACTTAAGCTCAAGAGTTTGAGGTTGCTGTGAGCTATGATGCCACGGCATTCTATCAAGGGCAACATAGTGAGACTCTATCTCAAAAAAAAAAAGGGTGGTGCCTATGGCAGGGCCAGCAGGTGGGGTGCTGGCCCCATATACCGAGGGTGGCAGGTTCAAACCCGGCCCTAACCAAACTGCAACAAAAAAGTAGCCAGGCGTTGAGGTGGGTGCCTGTAGTCCCAGCTACTTGGGAGGCTGAGGCAAGAGAATCAGCTAAGCCCAGGAGTTGGAGGTTGCTGTGAGCTGTGACACCTTGGCACTCTACCGAGGGCAATAAAGTGAGACTCTTGTCTCTAAAAAAAAAACGAATACTTATTACGGTGGGTTTTTTGTTGTTGTTGTTTGTTTTGAGACAGAGTCTCACTTTGTTGCCCTTGCATCACAGCTCACAGCAACCTCAAAATATTGGGCTCAAGCAATTCTCTTGCCTCAGCCTCCCAAGTAGCTGGGATTACGGGTGCCTGCCACAACGCCCATTATTTTTTGGTTGCAGTTGTCGTTGTTTTAGCAGTCCCGGGCTGGGCTCCAACCTGCTAGCCTTGGTGTATGTGGCTGGCACCCTACTCACTGAGCTACAGGTGCCGAGCCTATTTTTTTTTCTTTTCTTAAGACAGAATCTTACTCTATTGCCCTGGGTAGAGTGCCTCAAACTCTTGGGCTCAAGCAATCCTCTTGCCTCGGCCGCACAAATAGCTTGGACTATAGGCATGTGCCACCAAGCCTGCCTAGTTTTTCTATTTTTAGTAAAGATGGGGTCTCGCTCTTGCTCAGACTAATCTCAAACTCCTGAGCTCAACCAATCCACCTGCCTCAGCCTCCCAGAGTGTTAGGATTACAGGAGTGAGCCACTGTGCCTGGTTGATACTTTCTACATTATTAAAACTGCTGTTGCTTTTTTTTTTTTTAGTTTTCTACCCACCTTCAACACAGAAAAACCCTATGATCTCTGACCTGTACCCATTTCCTAGGATTCCTTCCAGGTGATACTGCCAGGCATCACCGAGCTGTTGTCCTAGACCTGCTGCAGGAAGCACTAACAGAGGCTGGATTAACTTCCCAGGATATTGATTGCATTGCCTATACCAAAGGTATGGCTGGGAGACTGGTCAACAATAAAGGGAAGTACCTGGAGCCTGGCTATGTCAAAACAGCTTATATTCCCCTACTTTCCCCACCTGTTTGTTTTTTTTTTTCTGATCTCTAGAATTTATACTCCCATTTCTATCCCCCTAGGACCTGGCATGGGTGCCCCACTGGCTTCTGTGGCTGTTGTGGCCCGTACTGTGGCCCAACTATGGAATAAACCATTGCTAGGTGTAAACCACTGCATAGGCCACATTGAGATGGGTCGTCTCATCACCGGAGCCATCAGCCCCACTGTGTTGTATGTCAGTGGAGGGAATACTCAGGTATTTAGGATATTCCACACATTCCATCTTAATTAATTTCTGAGGCACTGAACCAGCAACTTGCTTGTTGTACTTGAGAGTTTCAGGAACTGCAAGAACAAATTATCTGAACCTAAAATATTATATATAAGAAAACCCATAGAGAAAAAAAAAACAATGTTTGTAACATTGCAAATTTTGGCAAGATGATTAGGATATTAGGTGAATTTTATATGTGTGGTTATAAAGATTAAGGATTTCCAATGTAGAAAAGGAAAGAATGGTAAGGATTGAAAAATTATAAGAGATCTTTCATTATTTTGAAGCTTATTTTTTCTGTAAGTCTCAGCAATTAAAACTAGAGGGCACTACCTAATATATTGTTTTAGGGTAACTACATGTTTTATTTTTAAATTACTGAGGATAAGTATCTAGAGTTTATTCTAAAAGTATAGAAATATGAATAAACTGAAAGAATATTTTATAAATGGTAGAAGATGTGGGTGAAGCTAAAGTGTGGTTAGCTTACATGACCTTTTAAGGTTGGGATTCTGTTCTTTTTCCATGGAACACCTGATAGGATTACTATTACTACTACTACTGTTATTATTATTATTTTAATTTATGACCAGTTATTTTAGTCAGACCTGAAGTGTCATTGACAAAATATCTAAAAAACAAACTTTTTTTTTTTTTTGAGACAGTCTCAAGCTATTGCCCTGGGTAGAGTGCTGGGCATCATTGCTCATAGCAACCTCCAATTCTTGGGCTCAAGCAATCCTCTTGCTTCAGTTTTTCATTTTTAGTAGAGATAGGGTCTTCCTTTTGCTCAAGCTGGTTTTGAACTCGTGAGCTCAAGCAATCCACCTGCCTGGGCCTTTCAGAGTGGTAGGATTATAGGCATGAGCCACTGCGCCCAGCCTTAAAAATAAACATGTAAGAGTATTATTATACTGGTTAATAAAATAATCATATTCTGATAAACTATAGACTATATTAAAGTAAAATAAAAAGTGTAACTAGTAATCATTTCTAGCTGTTAAGTCTACATATTTAATACCTGTTGTCAGAAGGCCTAATAGGGTTATTATTAGAAATAGTTCATTATTGTCCCCAGCTCATGAAAGAGCTGTGTTTTAAATTTTCAATTTTTTTTTTAAACTGGGCTAAGTGTGGTTTTTGTTTTTTTGTTTTTTTTGTAGTTTCTGGCTAGGCTGGGTTTGAACATGCCACCTCTGGCATATGGGGCTGGCACCTTACTCCTTTGAGACACAGGCGCTGCCCCTAAGTGGCTTTTTTTAATTAGAGAAAGCCAGCATTACAGAGAACTTAAGAGTTGGC